TAGAACCGGCACCCATATGGGATGCCGGTGCTTCAGGCCAGGGCTTTAACCCGCTGCGTCACCACACTGGTCCCTATCATCCTTTGTTAAAATGATATATAATACCAGAATCTAACTGCTTCCTTGAGCTTTTACTTTTTCTCTGTGGCACTGCCTTACACATGCAATTAGAAAATGAACTTGGCATACATTTTCTTCTGATAAATATGTCTTTTTAAAAATTTAATTTACAGTTAATTTACAACTGCTGACTATGAGAAGTTACAGGAAAAGATTTTCCTCCTTTACATGTACTTGCAAGTATTATGCAAAAAGCGGCAGATTCAAAGATTGCATCTACAAAAAATTCTCTTTCACGGTTGGAATTTGAGGGCTGAGGCAAGGCCAAATCTTTAAGAGATAACTACATGTATCAGTCAGCATTTCATTTCTTTAACCAAAATACTTGGGAGGAGTTTATGAAAGAAGAGGATTACTTTTGGCTTAAAATTTTGGAAGTACAAGTCCAAGATTGTGTGACTTAATTAGTCTGGCATTAGATAGAGGTTGGCAATGTTGGGACATGAACAGAGGGAGGATCAAGTGGTAAGTCAAGAAGCACAAAGACAGGGTGCACCCTTGGCTTTTATAACGAACTTCTTGCAAAAACTGCCTCCTGAGGGCAAGCTCCCAAATGACCTCCAACTATGCTGACACCTCAGATACCATCATCAGATTAAGCCTCTACCTTTAATCTCTTAACCATTAAAATGAATTCATTAGCTATTAAATAAGACTTTGAGGTTTAAACATCTACATAAATTTGGAATGCCAAATCCTTTTCAACCCACAACACCAAGGGACACCGCTTTTTTCATTTATAGAAAATTCTAATCTTTTCTTTACCTAGCTTTATTTTCCCTATACTGCTTTTTTATAAGCTGAACAACCAAAACATTTTCTGTCTCTCAACACTGAAATTATAATAAAATTCCTTCCAATAAAAGTCTAGTTAAGTTGGTCCCAAACATAAACACATCATACTTTTCTTTGAAAAAATGTGTGTGATATAAGCATAGGACAAGTAAAGCACATGGTAAATCCTGGATTCATCACTAACGTGTTGAGTGTTTTTGGAAAATTTTTTCAAATTCTTTCTGATCGAAAAATAAAGTAAATCTAATGTTAGGTCTGAACTCTTAGAGTGATTGTGATCAAACAGATTATAATTATATACTATATTATTGTATATATGAATATATGGTGCCCTACGTGGCATTTTAACAGCTGTAGCCAAATACCTACTCTTAATTTATAATATTTTAAAATTGACAGCAGTCAAAATTTAGAGCATTTTTTTTTGAAACACAGGGTTTTTTTCTGAAAGACAGGGAAAGGGAGAGACAGAAAGAGGTCTTCCATCTTCTGGTTCACTCCCCAAATGGCAGCAATGGTGGAGCTGGGCTGATCCGAAGCTAGGAGCCAGGAGCTACTTCTGAGTCTCCCATGTGGGTGCAAGGGCCCAAGCACGTGGACCATTTTCTGCTGCTTTCCCAGGCTCATTAGCAGGGAGCTAGACTAGAAGTGCAACAGCCAGGACTTGAATCTGTGCTCATATGGGATGCTAGAGCCGCGGGTGGAAGCTTAGCCTAGTATGCTATACTGGTCCCTAGAGCATTCCTACGATTGTGTTATTTGAGGAAAAGACCAGCATGATAAACAAGTAGGATTGTAGATGTAACAACTGTGAATCATAACCGTCAGATAAACAAATAGTAATCTCATGGACTTGGCACATTCAAAGGATGGCCTTTTTACCAGTGTTAGGGGAGTGCTTTGGAACCAGACAGGAATTTAATTTAATTTAATTAATTTATGAATGGAGCATGCTGCTTCCTCTAGTATCATTCATGACACAAAAGTAGCTGTATCGGAAAAAAAATGAGTTTCAGTGACAACCAGAACCTTCAAGCATGCATGCACTCCTACATTTAGTGATAGAGGAACAATATACAGCGTTGTATGATGCCCAGCTCTGTACAGACACCAGTTGCCTGGCCTGTCTCTTGGGTGCCCAGACTGTCCTCACATCTGATACCCAGGGCACTTCTGAAATGATCCTTTAGGGCACCTGTCTCATATTAAGGATACCTCTGAGGAAAAGGCCCTTACTAGCCAAGCCCCCCACCTCTATTGCCTACACTCTCAGTTCACTGACTTTCAGAGCCTGAATTTACCCACCGTTATTTACCAACTTGGATACTACTGAGTGAAAATTACTTTGGTAAAGGAAGAAACCTTGGCAAAAGAAAAGCTACTGTTCTCTAGAAGAATTCATTCAGCATTCAGAAACTTATCCTAGCAGATATGAGAGCCTGAAAAGAAAAATATATTTTGTGTTTTAAGTCTGCTGCCATTTCATCTATGGTTCATGATAAATCATCCGTGGTCCTTCTTGGCTTAAGAGGAGGTATTATAGGGCCGGCGCTGTGGAGTAGTTGGTAAAGCCACTGCCTGCAGTGCTGGCATCCCATATGGGCACCTGTTCGAGTCCCATTTTCTCCACTTTTGACACAACTCCCTGCTTACGCACCTGGGAAAGAAGCAGAAGATGGCCCAATGTGGGAGACCTGGAAGAAGCCTCTGTCTGTTGGCTTCAGATTGGCTCAGCTCCAGCCATTGTGGCCATCTGAGGTGTGAACCAGTGGATGGAAGACCTCTTTCTCTCTGCCTCTGCCTTTCAAATAAATAAATAATTTTTTTTTTAGAAAAAAGGAGATATTATACAAGTAGCCCACTGAGCCTCAATAACATAAAAATTAAAATAAAATACAGACCGTTCTAGATACAAGACAATACTGTGCTGTTCTAAAATGAGAAAACTGGCCGGCACTGTGATGAGTGTGGGTTATTCTGCCACCTGCAATGCTGGCATCTCATATGGGCACTGGTTCAAGTCCTGACTGCTTCACTTCCTATCCAGCTCTCTGCTAATGCACCTGGGAAAGCAGTAGAAGATGACCCAAGTCCTAGGGCTCCTGAACCCGTGTGGGAGACCCAGACGAAGCTTCTGTCTTCTGGCTTCAGCCTGGCCCAGACCTGGCCATTGTGGCCATTTGGAGAGTGAACCAGCTGATAGAAGATATCTTTTTCTGTCTCTCTGCTCTCTTTCCCTGTAACTATTTCAAATAAATAAAGAAATCTTTTTTTAAAACAAAATGAGATAACTGGACCAGCGCTGTGGCTCACTTGGCTAATCCTCCGCCTACGGCACCAAAACCCCAGGTTCTAGTCCCAGTTAGGGTGCCGGGTACTAGTCCCGGTTGCTCCTCTTCCAGTCCAGCTCTCTGCTGTGGCCTGGGAAGGCAGTGGAGGATGGTCCAAGTGCTTGGGCCCTGTACTCACATGGGAGACTGGGAGGAAGCACCTGGCTCCTGGCTTCGGAACGGCACAGTGCTGGTTGTAGCAGCCATTAGGGGAGTGAACCAATGGAAGGAAGACCTTTCTCTCTGTCTCTCTCTCACTGTCTATAACTCTACCTGTCAAATGAAAATAAAAATAAAATGAAATAAAATAAAATAAAATGAAATAACTGATGGATTAGATTAGTTGTGTTTCTAGTCCTCTTCCTATCATGAGCCTTAGTCTCTGGCATATTAGAGATGAAGGTTGGTTTGTTTATGAAGGCAACTTCTTGATGGAATGTCTGCACCAATAGCTCCTATATCCTTTGGCTTCTTCCATCACCAGTAACTCCCCACCCTCTCTTTTATTGCAAGGTTCCTGCTTGTTTTCTTATTTTGGCTACAAGAAGTGTGACAGGAAGGCAGGAAGGTGGATACTCAAAGAAAACAAGATGTAATACACAAAATCAGAGGAACTGAAAGAAAAGCCAAAGGAATTTGAAGAAAAAAAAATTCTTATGATAGCATTCTACAGACACCATCTGTCCTACAGTCCTCCGCTCTACCAGCTGAGCTATCGAAGGGTGCACAATGATAGCATTCTCTAAATCAGAAATACATTTCTTTTTGCAGGACCAGAAAGTCAAAATTTAGCTATAAAGGGAAGTACCAATGTACCAAAACTCTCCCTATGGGCCATCTTGGTGACTATTGCACATAATTTACCGTACATAACAGAAGGTACAGAGACATTCAATGTAAGCATTAAGTGTAAAAGTAAACTTCTCAGCACTCAGGATACTAGTAAGATAATCACACACATTTTGATTTTTGTTGAAATGTCATAGCACACTTGAGAGGACAAAGTCAATATTGCTGCATAAAGCCTAAGGCACTAGAAGAAAATTAGTCAAAAAACTGTTTCTTACAACTAGGATCCTGATGACTAATGTTCTTTCAATTAAATCTTGCATGTTTAAAATGAAAAACACATGGGCTGGTACCAATGTCTATCCACATTTCATGTTGTTATCTGCTGCATTGGTGTGAGTTTTGGAGAAACTTCAAAATCCCACCCAGCATCCTTTAATATGCCCTTGACTGTTAAGCCTTGCCAGAGCTCAGTCAGAGTCAGTCCCTTATTCCTGTCCATGTCAAAAACAGCCTTTGCTGTAATGATGTGGTTGGCACACTGCTTTCAGTCAGTAGTAAGGTATGTTCTCCAGGGTCTTGTGTGCATTTCCCTTTGCCCTGTGCTCCGTGGTCACTACCAATTTGATTTTAGCACTGGGCACCAAATCCATAGCACTTTCCATTCTTTCACCATCTTCCCGGGTATCATTCAGTTAGCCAGGTCACTGTATTTGGAAACTTGCATCTGTCCTAACATTGTTAGATTGACATGTCCTCCTCTAGTCATTGTAAATGATTTATCTCTGGGTGAAAAAGAGGCTCCTGGAAGAACTGTAACTGTTTCCTTGCCTGCATTGATAAGATCTGCATCAGCTTCATATTGTAATGGATGTGGACCCAAACCCAGGATTCCATTTTCACTTTGAAGATGAACAGTGATATTTGGACTGATAAAATTGTTGGCTAGAAGGGGGATTCCTGGGTAAAGATGGCGGAGCGCGGGTACAGCTTTTCACTGACTACATTCAGCCCCTCTGGTAAACTTGTCCAGATTGAATACGCTTTGGCTGCTGTAGCCGGAGGAGCCCCTTCAGTGGGAATTAAAGCTGCAAATAGTGTGGTATTAGCAACTGAGAAGAAACAGAAATCCATTCTGTATGATGAACGAAGTGTACACAAAGTGGAGCCAATCACCAAGCATATAGGTTTGGTGTATAGTGGCATGGGCCCAGATTACAGAGTGCTTGTGCACAGAGCTCGGAAGCTAGCCCAGCAGTACTATCTCGTTTACCAGGAACCCATTCCCACAGCCCAGCTGGTGCAGAGAGTAGCTTCTGTGATGCAGGAGTACACCCAGTCGGGTGGTGTTCGTCCATTTGGAGTTTCTTTACTTATTTGTGGTTGGAATGAGGGGCGACCATATTTATTTCAGTCAGATCCATCTGGAGCTTATTTTGCCTGGAAAGCCACAGCAATGGGAAAGAACTATGTGAATGGGAAAACTTTCCTTGAGAAAAGATATAATGAAGATCTGGAACTTGAAGATGCCATTCATACAGCCATCTTAACCCTAAAGGAAAGCTTTGAAGGCCAAATGACAGAGGATAACATAGAAGTTGGAATCTGCAATGAAGCTGGATTTAGGAGGCTTACCCCAACTGAGGTTAAGGATTACTTGGCTGCCATAGCATAATAATGAAATGACTGAGCAATGGGAAATTGCAGATAATTGATCTACTTAAACATGTTTAAAGTATGTTTTGTTTTGCAGACTTTTTGCATACTTATTTCTACATGGTTTAATGGACTGATGTTTTTAAAATGACACTTATAAATCATAATAAACTGTTAAATCAAAAAAAAAAAAAAAAAAGAAGGGGGATTCCTGTGCCCGGATCAGCATACATACCATCCTTGAATTTCAGAGCTGCACCTGATGACATGCTGCTGTACAGTATCTTCAGGTTGATCAGATTTGGCTTTTCCATCTCCTTCCTTCCAGATTGTTAAGCACTCAAGTTTTTTTTTTTTCTCCCTTTATAAGCTAATGCAATGCAATTTAGGCATATGAATAGCTTCTGTAGCAAATGATCTAATAGCTACATATCTACAATTTCTTCAACCTCCACCATGGTGGTTTTCATAGCTTTGGGAATGGGCAGGTTGAAATTTCTTACATTTTTCCTGAAAATCAGGTTTATAGCTCAGTCTGCCTTCCAGATTTTCGCCAAAGCAAAACCCCCGGTAATAGCTTTCTCTGAAGTGAAGTGTTGGCCATTAAACTCCCTCACCTCTCTAGGCTAACTGGCAATGGCAATGTTGTCACCTTTGTTGTAACTCATGGATGATCCTCTTTCTTGGACCAGTGTAAAATGGAGAAACTCCAGTCCTTCCTGTGTGAACTCTCTGTGCAAGTGGGCTGGTATGTGTCAGTTCTACTTCTAATTCACCAGGTAAGGATCGTCACTCAAATTCTGCATTTTCTCCAACATATGACAAGATCATATGTTTTATTTGCTTAGATTGAAATAAAAGGCTCAAACCAAAATAGTGTGCCCCAGCACTGTGGCTGTGCAAGTAATCCTTTTACTCCAGTCTTTAGTAAAGTTCCTAGAAGATTCTCTGGCATTCCACATAGCCCAGAACCACAAACCAGAACTGTTACACCCTCAGGGATGCCTTTAACAGCTTCCAAAGGATATGTATAAAACTTGATATGATGACAACTGCTTGTAGAAAGGTAGAAAACACAACCTTGGCCCCGGCGTGCCTAGAGCCACAGGTGGAGGGGCAGGGTGGTGGCCCAGAGGAGAGGAGTTTGAGAGCCACCATCTTTGGGGTCTGATTCTGGAGAAGGCAGCTGGCTAAAGCACATGAGTCAGGGTGTGAGTTTCTGTCAGTGGGGCTGCTTGCAGTAACAGAGCAGATGCTTGGTGAAATATTTAAGCTGCCACGTGGGAGGTCCACATCCCAGGCTGGAGTGCCTAGGTGTGCGTCCTGGCTTTGCTGCTGATTCCAGATTCTTGCTAATGCACACACTATGTGGCAACAGGTAGTGGCTCAAGTTGGTGGGTCCCTGCCTCTCACGTGGGAGACTTGGATGGAGTTCTTAGCTCCTGGCATTGAATTGGTCCTCTCCCAGGTATAGCAGGTATTTGGGGAGTGAACCAGTAGATGTGAGGTCTGTTTCTTGCTGTTTCTCTTTCTCTCTCTCGCTCTCTCTCTCCCTCTTTTTTTCCTTCTCTCTTATTCAAATAAAATGATAAAAACAACAATAAAGGAAATGTCATAATGTAAAAATTATCTTCACCAGTTCTACTGTTTAATTATCCAGTATAACAACAGAATTACTGTCTTAGTACATTTTGTCTTTATAATAAGATACCACACACTGGAACAAAAAACTGTAAGTAGCAGGATTTTTTCCTCAGTTTTGGAGACTGCGAATTTCCAGATGCAAAGGCAGATTTGGGGTCTCATTAGGATCCTGCTCCTTGTTCATACATGAGATCATTTCTGTGTGTCCTTACCTGGTAGAAGGGATGAGGAGGTCCCAGGCATGTTTTGTAAGGATGCTCATCTCATTCATCATGACTATGTCCTCACGATCTTAGTATCTCCAGGGGACCCACATGCTAACATTTTCACATTGGTGTTTAGGTTCCAACAAATGAAGTTGGGGGAACACAAGCATTGAGATCTTAGCAAATACTGAAGAAGTGATGACAATCACTTAGGTGGTCTTTCTTAGCAAACTAGAAACTTAACAAACTATTTGTGATGTGTGTGCAGCTTTAAAAGGAGGGGTTGGGGGACTGGTGATGTGGCACAGCAGGTTAAGCTGTCATCAGTGAAACCAGCATCCCATATGAGTGCCAGTTTTAGTCCTGGTTGCTCCACTTCTGATCCAGCTCCCGATTAATGCACCTGGGAAAGCATCTGTAGATAACCCAAGTGGCTGGGACCCCGCCAACCATGTGGGAAACCCACGTGGAGTTCTAGGCTCCTGCCTTCATCTGATACAACCTGGGACATTGAGGCCATTTTGGATACAGACCAGCTAATCGAAGATCTCTTTCTATCTCTCCCTCTGTCCCTGTAACTGTCTTTCAAATAAATAAAAAACCTTTAAAAATTTAAAAAATAAATGTAGTGAGAAAAAGTAAATAAAATTTAAAATTTTATAAGATTTAGCTTATTTATTTGAGAGCTAGAGTTATAGACAGAGGGAGGGAAAGACAGAGAGAAAAGTCTTCATCCACTGGTTCACTTCCCGAATGGTGCCTGAAGCCAGGAGCTTCTTTCTGGTCTCCGCGTGGGTGCAGGGGCCCAAACACTTGAATCATCTTGCACTGCTTTCCCAGGCCATAAGCAGAGATCCGGATTGGAAGAGGAGCTGCTGGGACTCAAACCGGTGCTCATAGGGGATTCCGGCACTGCAGGCGGAAGCTTGGTCTACTACATCACAGCATAGTATCTTATAACTGCAGAATTCATGTTTTCTAATAGTTACTTTATAAATTCAGAATAACACTGAACACCTTCTAGCCATATCTGAAAATCTTGAGGATGTAGAATATGGTGGTAAAAATCTGAGATATTCTATTAACTCTACATATCAGCATTATAAAAGATAGACTTTTATTCCCTCCTTCCTTTCAAACAGCCTTTTTTTTTGTACTGAGAAACCTAAAACCCTTACATTGCTAAAGACTAAGAAACTCTTTTAAGGCATTCAACAAATCTCATTATTTACTGTTTCTTTCTGTGGGGTTTCTTCTCTTTTTGGTAAAATACAAACACAAAAGTGTATTCCCTTTAGACACTATTAAAATTTAACTGAGTTACTCAGATGTTTCAGTTGCAAATACTTAAGTGGAGTGATATTTCTATGAACTACATTAAATCTAAAAATAATCCTTGCCCTAAATGTCTGGTAGTGTCAGCAAGAGCAGGAAAATTATTCATGAGAGTTGGCTCCATAATGTATTCTGATAAAACAAATATAGGCACTCGAGATTTTGAAGCAGTATGCATTGGAGGTAGGCCTATGTGTAGTGTATATGGGACATCACTCTATATTTCATGATAACTTGGAAATAACTTAGTATTTGAAATAAATATTGGAAGTGTAATATAAAGGGCAGCTTTATCCTTCTCAACATAAGACTATACAATCCTAAATTAGTAGAACTGTTTTTATTGAGTGCCCTAGTTCACATTGTCCCTTCTTTCCAGAGAGAGAGAAGAGAAAGAGAGAGAGATCATCTGCTGGTTCATTCTCCAAATTGCCGCTGTGACCCGGCAGAGACAGGCCAAAGCCAGGAGCCAGGAGTTTCTTCTGGGTCTACCATGTTGGTGCAAGGACTCAAGCACTTGAGCTGTCTTCTGCTGCCTTCCCAGTCACCTTACCAGGGATCAAATTAGAAGAGGAACTTGAACTGGCACCCACATGGGAGGCTGGCTCTGCAAGCCATGGCTTTAACTTGCTGCACTACAGCTCTGGCCCCAAATTTCATAGGTATAGAGCCCAGAATACAATGATACAAACCTCGCTTCCTTTCTTCTCCTTTCCTTCTTTCCTATTTTTTCTTTTATTTTTGTTTATTAACACATTTTCAAATTACTTTATGATCACAGACAATGCTCCTCGAAACTAAGAGCTCTACAAGTAAAAGGTGGGTAGACCACTGTTCCACAGGGGTGCAGACAAGTGTTATAGACAACAAATAACAAGATATAAGTTTAGCTCATATAATTTTTTTACTGTATATATTATATACAATCAATCAGAAAACATGATATTTGCATTCTGGGACTGGATTATTTCATTAAGCATATTGGACTCCAGTTGCACATATTTTGTTGCAGAAGACAGAATTTTATTATTTTTTATGTTTGAGTAGAATTCATTGTGTATGTACTCCACATTTGCTTTCTTTGTCATCAGCTGATAGACATCTGAGTTGATTCCATAGCCAGCCATTATGAATTAAGATTCAACAAACATAGGGATAAAATAACTCTTTCATATGCTGATTTCATTTCATTTGGGTAAATTCCCAGGAATGGGATGGCTGGATCATACAATAGATCTATTTTCAGATTTTTGAGAAATCTCTAGACTGTCTTCCACAATAGTTTTACTAAGTTTACATTCCCACTGACAATGTATTAGGGTAATCTTTTTTTCCACATCCTTACCACCAGTTGTTATTTTTTTTTAAATTTTTGGATGATAACCACTCTATTTGGGGTTAGGTGAAACATCTTTGTGGCATTTATTTGCTTTTCTCTGCTGGTTAGTGACCCTGAACGTATTTTCATGTGTCTATTGGTCATTTGTATTTCATCTTTTGAAAAATGCCTGTTCATGTTCCTTGTTCATTTCTAAATTGGATTTTTATTTCGTTGTTGTTATGTTTTTTTTTTAATAAAGAATTATTTTATTTATTTGAAAGACAGAGTTACAGAGAGAGGTAGAGTCAGAGAGAGAGAGAAGTCTTCCATTCCGCGGGTTCACTCCCCAGATGGCTGCAATGGCCAGAGCTGAGCTGATCCGAAGCCAGGAGCCAGGAGCCTCCTCCAGGTTTCCCACATGGGTGCAGGGGTCCAAGGACTTGGGCCATCCTCTACTGCTTTCCCAGGCCATTAGCAGAGAGCTGGACCAGAAGAGGAGCAGCCAGGACTCAAACTGGCTCCCACATGGGACGCTGGTGCTGCAGTCTGGTGCTTTAGCCCACTGCTCCACAGCACCAGCCCTTGTTGTGTTTCTTGAGCTCCTTATTTATTCTGGATATTAATCTTTTTCCAAACACACAGTTTGCAAATATTTTCTCCCATTCTGTCAGTTACCTCTTAACTTCGTTGAGTGTT